AGGTCTGAAAAATCAGAAAGAAGATGGAGAAGTAATGATGCCAGTATCTCCAATCCTAGGAAATGACATGAAAAAGTACCTTCTAGTATTTGGAAGAAATGAACATAGGGCAAATAAAAGAAGGGACTATATATGTAAGAATATATTCTCTTACTGGGTCATACTGTCTGGAAAGGTACAGCGTTTTCCTTAATGTGTCTCTCATTTACAAAACCCACTGAATTTTTTGGAGAAGCTGTGTTACGAGTTCCATTTGCCTATGTTACTAGTTGAGGCTAGCCAGCATCCTGTGCCCAGAAAGCTTGATACAGAAGTCCAGAGGCCACTATTAAACAGCAGGCTTTGCCAGTGCCTTTGAAGTCTGAAGTGGGTCAGGGCATTTGAGGGTCAGCTGAGAGAGTTGCCATTGATTCTGGGGGAGCTCTCTCAAATGAAACTGGATGCATTTAACTTCATTGGGACTTCAGCTTTCACTGCTGGCTGATGTGTTCCAGGGCCCTCAGGGTAGGGAGGTGACACCCAGGCCTGAAGTAGCCCCAGGTAGGAACATAGAGATTAGAAAGTTCATACCATAGTGGACAGTAGCTGCCTGTCTCTCATAGCAGGCCTATGTTCATTCTCAGAGTAAGGAACAAGTAGAACAAAGCAAATGTAGAATGAGGCAAGGGGGAGACAGACAGTCTACTTTAGAGGAGGCCAGAGTTAGACAACTTGGGACCATAATTAGTATGATTTATTAGCATAGGGAGTTGGGAAAGTTTTTCGCCCAAGGCAACATTGAAGAGAAGTGGTGAGTGAAATGGGTAGTGTAGGGCACCATCAATTGTAGCTTTGTGACAGAAAGGAAGGGTTTTTATGAGGAAAGTCCTGTGGTGATAAATGGCTTCTTCCAGGTTTCCTCTCAGAGCTGGACTGGCCCCATCCTAGAACCGCTCTTGGCTTTCATCCTAACCTTGGAACGACTTAGACCATGAGCAGTGTAAGAACCTGGATGGAGAAAGGAGGGCTGGCTGGGTGTCTGCAAGAGTCATGACCTTGAGAGTTAGGAAGGGGCTGAGAAAGTCAGGCCTGAGTAGTGCTGAGTGTGGCTTCTCTGAAGGCCTCCATGGGTAGACAAACCAGAGGTAGCCAGTAGTGACTTCTCTGGGCTGTGACTTCTGCTACAGGACTCAACTTAGACTTTTGAATGATTTTGTGTGTGTTCTTTGGTTTTGATTTAGAAATTCTTAGGCCTGTACCCATATACGTACTCTTGAATTTCTGTGCCTAGCACGTGAATGTTAATTAGAAAAGCTTTTGATGTGATTTAAATGTTTTCCTCCTTGATTTAATACTTTAGATGTTTTTGCGAGATTGTTTTAAAAAGCTTTTCTTGAAATTGGATAATCAGAGCCGTTAAATTTCTTTTTTCTTTTTTCTTTTTTTTTAGAGAAAGGGTTTCACTATGTGGCTCTGGACATCCTGGAACTCACCATGCAGACAAGGCTGGTTTTGAACTCACAGAGATCATCTAGCCTCTGCCTCCCCAGTATTGGGATTAAAGGCATGGGCCATCACACTGGGCCACCACATTGGCCCAACAGCTCTTGTGCTCCTCGACTGCTCTTATGTACTAGTCACCCTGCTAAACACTATGATTTTCATTTGGTCTTCAATATGTTCTGTGAGGTCTTAGATCACAGCTTCCATTTTACAGACAGAGAAAGGAAGGCCCCAGGAGACAGATAGCACTTTGTAAAGTTACTCAGTGGGTGAGGGACAGAGTTAGAACTGGGTGATTGAGGTGTCATCCTGCTCCTGCAGCTGAACCTGATAACAGCTATGCAGAATGAATGTGGAGGAGTCTGCTGATGGTGGGGGTGCCGAGGGAGAGCCAGCATCTAGTCTTTGCCACTTGCTCTGTACTGTGGTAGACTTGAGGGGCCTCTTGGAAATTACTCCCTTGGGCCTTTCCACTCTAGAAAGCTCTGCTGTGGAAAGAATATAAGCAAAATTCCAAAATGAAGGAGGTACCACAAGTTGGCATGACCATTTTTAAGGCAAGGGGAGAGGTGTGTGGGGAGGAAGTTGTATAGGGTAGAACTCCAGGAAGTAGGGACGAGGCCAGAACTTTTCAGAAGGTGGACTATGGGAAATTAATTGGATATGGAATCTTTTAAAAATATATGCAAGTGAAAACCCGTCATGGTGGCATATGCTTTTAAGTCCAGTACTGAGGCAGGCATTTGGTGTTGGAGACCAGCCTGTTTGGTTCCAGGACATCCAGTACTACATAGTAAGACCCTGTCTCCAAAAACCACAGTGGCCCACCTTGGTGGCACATGCCTTTAATCTCAGTACTCAGGAGGCAGGAGCAGGCAGATGTCTATGAGTTTGAGCAGGAGCAGGAGCAGGAGCAGGCAGATGTCTATGAGTTTGAGGCCAGGCTGGTCTACAGAGTAAATTCCAGGACAGCCACATCTTTTACACAGAGAAACTCTGTCTCGAGAGACCAAAACAGAAACCAAACCAAACCAAACCAAATATAACAATAATAACTATAAAAAATCATGTGTGTGTATATATACATATATTTCATATGTATATATGCATATGGAGTACAGAGTTTCTGCTTGAATAAATTGTCTAATATGGACAATTCTCTATTTTGAAAAAACTGATGTCAAGGCCAAGATGAATTAATGACGTTCCAGAGTATTTTACAGTTGGTGACTGTGCCCTTTCCAAACTTTAGTGCAGTTAACCAAAAGTTCTGCTTCAAGAGCAGGGTCAATCCTTTGTGGTAAGGGCACTGAGGGCTCAACATCTCTTTGCTGAAGTCATTGTCAAAGTCTGAAAACTGCTGACTACCAGGAATAGATGGGGGGTCAGTCAGGATACCCTCACCACTGTCTCCTCTCCCAGACATCACCTGCATACAGGGCGCATCACCTCCTTCTCATTTCCTTTACCTGTGGTCTCAATCCCAGATTGGGAGGATTACTACTGATATCTGGGCTGGAGAATGGAGAGAGGAAGGCAATGGCTGTTTTCTACCTGTCTAGGAGTTGTGAGGGGGTCCTGGATGACGTGAGCATCCAACAAGTGCCAGAAACTTGTCTAAACACCTGATGATAGTATTAACTCATTTTACACTCCCAGCTTTAGGGAGTGGGTACAATAGGTGAAGGAAAATGTGTCAAAAAGCTTGATGTCACATGGCTGGCGAGTGGCGACATCTAGATTCAAGATGGAGATCTGAGTGCATCAGGGAGACAAACTTCAGGAGACAGTGGTGAGGGTATCCTGACTGACCCCCCATCTGTTCCTGGTAGAGAAGGCGTTTATAGAAATTCAGACCCATATGTCACTTCTCTGATGATGTTCTTGTTGGGAAAAGAAAAGGGGATATTTTATTTTCACTGGTCTCATATCTTGATGGAGATTTCAAGCTTTTTAAATGGTGGTAAGAGAAATTTTTGTTTCTGATGTCTCCTGATGTGGGATTCAGAGACACTTCTGGAAGAATCTTAGCAATGACATTGTCTCACCTTTCACCCCTCTAATGGAAATGTCAAGGCCTCAATCTTTGGAGGACTGACCTCAAGAATCCAAGAATGTACAGAATTAAGTTACATGGTCAATTTCATTGTTGATACCTTCTGCTAATGGATTATATTGTTTTATTGTGGCAAATATACCAAATGTAGAACTATTTTAAACTTTTTTTTTTCAGTTTTTTTAAGACAGGGATTCTCCGTGTAGCACTGACTATCCTGGAACTTACTCTGTAGACCAGGCTGGTCTCAAACTCAGAGATCTGCCTGCTTCTGCCTACTGAGTGCTGGGATTAAAGGAGTGTTCCACCACCACCTGGCTATTTTAACCTTTTTAAGGTGTACATTTCAGTGACATGAAGTATGTTCACACTTTTATGCAAACATTAACACAAACATCAGCTCTAGAACTTTCTCTTTATCCCCAGCTGGAAGTGGCCCTGAGTCTTGCTGGTGCCAGCCTATAACACCACCATTAACCCCATCATAAAGGAGACGGGGGCATGAAATTTTAAACTGTAGCAGATAGTGTCAAAGCCACTCTTCACTTTAAGGTCACACGGAACCTAGCCTAGATTCTGACCAACTACAGATGCTACTGCTCCTGTCATCAGGGTATCTTGTGGGCAGAATGTTGAGACCATCTCCCTACTGCCTCCCAAATGTCATCTGGCAGAATAGGTACCAACAACATGAAAGAGCAAATACCCCTTTTAAAGCCTTCATTTTCTTCTTCTCAAGTTAACCTCATACTCAAACTTTTGAGAGAGGGAGGTGAATTATTCTTGGGACCAAATGAGTCAAGTCCAAATGCTGTGATCTTTCGACATTGTGACATGACATTGTCATCAGCAAAGTTTACTTTGAGAACTGTGCTACTGACTTACAAAAAATATTGCAAAAGAAATATCTCATAATATTTTAGGAAAGTGTGTGCTTGTGTGTTGGGCCGCATTTCTGGCTGTGTGCATGTGGACTACAAACCAGGAGCTGGATAGACCTGATAGATCTGTCATCTGAATGTGAGAGATTTCCTGGGTGCATGTGTATGTGGGAGTTGTGGGGGGCAGGGGTGTGTGAATTACTGCGTGATTTAGGAATTGCTTCAATTCTGGCTCTGCAGCACTGGCCTTTAGCTCTAACTAAAGTCAAAGACTTCGTTGTAGTGGTAACAGTGTGGATGCCTCCTGATCACTCCCTACCTCTAGACACTAGGCTCAGACCTGGCCAGGCTGGTGTGCTCAGGGTTAAGTCTCCAGGAGGACAGACAGCTTCATTGGTGCTTGCATCACCTGTGGGGTGTGCACCTGCTGTGCTAGCAGCCAGTTGGGTTTGCTGGGATGTGCAGTCACCCAAGCACTGACTCAGGCATGGAGGCCTCAGAGGATTTCTGGAGCAAAGCTCAGCTGGCCTCCCTCTGCAATGAGATTTACATAAGGTCTTAAGCTTTGTAGATACAGAAAACTGAGCTGGACGTTGGGAGGGAGAAGGAGAATGAGAGAAGGGTGGAGAGGAGGCCTTAGGACTGGCAGGGGACTCATGTTTACTGCACATTGCGTTTACACAGAGATAGGAAGAAGCAGGAGTGAGGATTTTAGTCCTTTTCTTCCACACAAGGCCACACTTCATTCCCCACAGCTCTCCACTAGCCTCTGCCCTGAACACTGGCATTTCTAGGCTGCCCTAGACCAGTACATCTTGCCTGAGCCAATTCCCACTGCTTTTGAATGAGAGCCCCCAGATGACCATACCTGTCTGATGTTCAAAGGTCGGGTAATATTCTTCATTGCTGAACAAATCCGTCCACGACATCAGGGGGTCACAGAAGGATGTGTTAGGTAGAAAGGTGCTATGGGTTACGGAGTCCAACATCACCCTGGAATATCAGAGAGGCTGTGAGGATGTGCGGAACATGGGCTTCCACAGCCACATGTGTAGAAACACCCAATAGAATGGCCCTTAGCTTTTAACAAGGGCATTAGCTGGGCACTCCCATTAAGTGTTTTCCACAGACAGTGTTCTTTGGTCCTTACCATATCCTGCCTATCCCCATTGCACTTATGAGAAAACTGAGCCAGAGGAGTTGAGACAGTTGCCCAAGTAACATAACAAGAAAGTTGCAGAGCTGGGATTTGAGGATGGAGGCTCATATTCTGCAATCCCACCTCTTCTTCTTTTTTCTCTGCTCATGCCTGAATCCCCCCCCACATATGTAACATATAATATACACTACATATTATATATAATACATATATATTTTATATAATATCTAAAATTGCATTTTGGAAAATGGGTCAAGCATTGCCCTGTGTGGTTCTGTCCAGAACGCTGAAATCAGACGGCTCTGAAAGTTTCTATATGTTGGCATGTGCATGTGTTTGCCACACCTTATTTCCCAGCAGAAAGAGTCCTGAACTGATATTGCAAAGATTTTATGCATTCGAGATACGTGCATATGGACACACACACACACACACCACTACGTTATAGCTATAGTTAACTTATTTTCAGTTAGTGAATAGTTACATGATACCAGTGACATTAATATACTGGAGCAACCCTGGATCCTCCCAAGAGCTCTCTTTCTACACAGTGTATACCATATGCCTGGTGTTCCTGACACTGGAGAATGCTCCAGTCCACTCTGCTTCGGGTGTGTGGAGAGAGGTTTCCTCAGAGCAACTGCTGGGTGGGTGCTGGGAAAGGTTCTTTTTTATGGATGAAGGACGGGACTCCGAGAACCCAGGTAGCAAGTACAAGCTATTCCAGCTGACAGAAGATGGAATTTGAATGGCAGCTCAGGTGGGCCTGCTTGGAATGTCCCTGGTTCTATCTGCTGACTGCTTCTCCCTGAGCACTTTACAGTGGTTGGAAGGGAGCTCATGCAAAGGTGTCGGCTGAGACTGGACAGCAGACAGGGTGTTCTTGCCATGTCAACCTCACCTTTGCTCCTTCTCCTAGGCCCAATGCTACTTCTGTGCTGCGTTCCATATTCCCACAAGTGTGTGTGTGTGTGTGTGTGTGTGTGTGTGTGTGTGTGTGTGTGTGTGTGTTGGAGTGATCATGTTTAGAAGATTTTTTTTCAAAATCTGTCCACGTAACTTCATTTTCTTTAATTCTTGAAATAAAATTAATGAGATAAGTTGGTTCAAACTCTATTCACAGGGAGGACACAGCAGCTCAAAATCACAGCACAGGCAAAGGCCAGGGCAAAAGTGAGAGTCCACGTCCAGGGACAACATGATACAGAATCAGAAATTATGAATGCCTCTCCATCACTTAGTCCAGTGTCCCTGAAACTGCATCATTTTACCTGTCACTGTGATAATCTTACTGAGTCCACTTGCTTCTCTGAACAGGGTAAATTTAAAAAAAAAATTAATCAACCGTCTTCTTTATTTTCTTTTTTCTTTTAAAGTAAATGGGGCTTTAAAGGGAAAAGTTTATATCATCATTATAAATGGAAAGCTAGTATTCTTTAATGTACATAAAAATGAATGTATAGTCTCAAATAGAAATGGCTCATTCATGTACCATCTAAATCAGGAGTTAGTTGTCTACAACCAGAAGCCAATCCAGCCCATACCTCTTTTATTATTATTATTATTATTATTATTATTATTATTATTATTTATCCCGTAGCCAGAAATCCTTTTAGGTTTTGAAATACATGTTTACTTAGCATTCTTGATTTTTGTCTTTTGGCCAGTGAATCATAAAATATTTACTGCCCAGCCCTTTGAGGGATTTGTCAACCTCTGGGCAGAATTACCTCCTGCTTCCTGGTGCTGTAGTACCAGGGCTGGAAAATAAACTCTACCTTTTACTAGGGAAGGAAGTGGAGATCCAGGGAATCTGTGTTCTTGCTCAAGGTCACACAGCCAATGGAAAGCAGAGTTAAGCTTGAAGGTGGCCCTAACGTTCCCATGTCTGTTAGCTTCCCTATCTAAAGGCACAGTTTCTTCCAGGCACATTTATATAGTGATCACTAAGAGTCACAGGGGCCTTCTGAGATGCTCACAAATCTACCATTATGATCACCATTCAGTGTGCAGAAGAACTGTATGCTATTAAATAAAACAAGGGTTTGTGATCTTCATCTTGGATATCCTCTCTGGGCTGCATATTCCCAGTCCCCAGCTTTTTCCTGATACCTGGACAGAGTTAGTGGACCCAGCAGTTATAACAGCCACGGACTTACCTGGGAGCTGACAATCAGAAGCCAAGGCTTCCTGGTTTTGGGTTCTGACTTTCCCATGGACTGGCCAGCTTTCTTGAATCTGTACAAGGGTGGGTATGGGTGCCAGGGAGTAGGGTTAAGACTGAACACGACACTTAATCTGAACTCAACCTCTGGAAAATCCTATAAGTGTGAGCAAAGGATAGAAAGAGTCTCACACTTTCTGGGCAGTACACTCAGAACACTTCTGACATGACCTTCACTGAATTTGGAGAAAGGAGAGGTGGGCCCCAAGTGGAAGACAATAGAATACAATCTCCAGGTCTTCAAAGTCAATGGGGGCATCCTCTAAGGATTAAACTCGACCTTGGCTTTGCCTGTCTTCACCCACACCTGACATATAGAAGACATTTAGTATTCAACATGAAAGTCATTTGGTAAATTGAGCTGGATCTTATAAAGCTCAGGACTGTTTTTGATCAGTAGGGTGTTTACCACCTTTAAGGATTTCCCCTCCCCCCTGCACGCCAGCCCACCCCCTCAATCCATAATCTCTTCAGGGTTGCACACAATGATGGATTTAGTTCCCTTCGATAATTCCTTCTATGGCAAATTATACCCATTAGATTTGCTTAGAGAGCTTAGCTGGTATATACCATGCTGTTTTCCTTCCACAATTATTTCTTGCTTCTTTGGTAGGGGGAGGTCTTTTATGAAAGCAGTGAACATTTCTTTCCTTCTTTCTTTCTTGTTTTGCTATTGTCGTAAGAGGAGGCGTTATTAAGTCTAAGCTCACCACAAAAGGCCATGGCTACTTAGCCAGCATGCACTAGGTGTGCAAGTTCAGGAATAAAGGCTGCTTTGTGTTCAGCCGAACCTTTTCTTTAGGCCTTGGAAGGTGCTTGCAGTAACTGAACATTTTGACTGTTTCTTTAACGTAGGTGGGTCACCAGTGTGGTGCCCTCTTCTCTGAGGATTCTGGACCAGCAATATGTAAGACCAGGTCTGGTTTTGCCCAGCTATTCTCAATGCGTATAGTTGTGACAAAAGGCTCTGAGGGGAGGGTGGTGAGGAAAATAAGGCAAAAAAGAACTGGGGTAGCTATGCCTGGCATTACACAAGACCAAAGGGGACACTAGAAGGTTCCTGGGGCTTCTGGTCTACTCACTCTGGCTTGTCATTATGAAAGATCCCTGAACCTGGAGTCACGATCCTGCCTTTTGACCCTCTCTAGACCTTAGCTCTTCACCTATGATGGGAGGACACTAAGAGATGGACTCAAGGTCAGCCCTGGCTCTGTGATTTTTTTCAGGTTTCCACCTGACCAGCTAGACACTTCTAAACCTGTACACACATACACTCTCGAAGCCACGTTGATAACATTTGCACTTTGGTCAAAGTGCAAATACAACTAGTGCTGACACAGATTAGTCTGTAGCCCCAGAAAGCCCCCTGGTTCCCTCTTCCTCCTTCCCTCTTTTGCTCGGCTGGACCCCCACACCTTGACTTTTGAACAGCCCATGGAAGCAGTTTCTCCTATGTTAGTTACCGCTCTGGCTGCCTTATAAGTAGGAAAGGATTGGTACGATCAACCCCAAGGCGCTGGAGTCAGGCGTGCTCTCTCCTACTGTTGGAGAAGGCTGATTGTAGGTACCTTCGGAGTGAGTCAGGGCCGGCCTGGAGTTGAGAGCCTCCAGCAACTTCCTGTCCCCTTTTGGGGCAAACTCATACACCAGCACACAGACAAGGTCCACCCAGCCAAGAGTCAGGCTCATGGGCTTCTGTTCGACTTACAAACCAATGGCAGAACGAACAGGTACAGTGCCCATGGCCTGAACCACCAGAAAGAGGTGACGGCACAAACCACCCAACCTTGGCCAGTTTGCCAGAAGAGGAAAATTCCTCCTTGACCTTGGCCAGGATCATCCAGTTCATTTTTGGCATGTGACCAAAAATCTACCCAATTAAGCATCTACACTTTTGCTATTCCTCTCCTTTTCATCCGCTTTCTTTTCTCCCCTCCCCATCTCTGGTGTGTGAACTTACTATGCAGATCAGGCTAGCCTTAAACTTGAGTCAACCCTCCTGCTTCTACCTTCTGAAATTCAGTGTACAGGCATTGGCTATTTTGTTGTCAAAACATCTTTGAACAAGCCACACCAGGGCAAAATAAAGAAAAAAAATTGAGAAAGACCGTCCCCAATTCTACCATCTGGGCAGTGCCACTGAGTAGGGAAATGCTTTTTCTTCTCTAAAGCTCCACCGCACCTGAATGTCCACCAGTCCAGAGCCCTACAAACAAGGAGTGTCAACTTCCCACCCTGTGGGGCTCTTTAAGAAGGGCTGGATGCAGAGGACTCAATGAGGGTATTTCAACACTTGCATTAAGGAAGGCTTGTGGGTTGGGTACTTGAGTATTTGTTCTGGAAGCAATCACAGCATGTGGGAACCAACTTGTTGATGGCTTATCCAGCAATTCTTCATTTTTTTCTTTAGCTTACTTAGGACTTCATTTGTTTGTTTTTAGCTGTTTTTCTGAAGACTCATAGAAGAAAGCCATGGGTTTTGATGCAAGGATCACAAGTTTTAGGTTAAAGACACAAAGAATGAATATTGCTTGTGGTACTCACAAAGCAAGTTCCTAACTACCTAGCCTGCTGCAATTTCTGACTTTCTGGCCTGAATGCTAAAA